TGGAGCCATCTCTGGGCGGGGGGGGTGTCGGCTTCTGGCTGTGGGCATGCGGGGCCAGTGGTCAGGCAGGGCTAAGCCCAGCCTCTCCCGGGAAGACCTGGGCCACCAGCTGCCACCTCGGCCCCGGGGAGCCCCCGGTCACATCCCACTACCCGGTGTCCTGCCAGGTGGGTGCCTCGCTGCGGTGGCCCCATGCGCGGCACTGGGGTACCCAGGGACCCGCCACCCTGAGGTGCTCAATGCAGGGCATCCCGCGGGATGGTGCCCGGGGCTGGCAGAGCTGGGGGCTCCTCGGGGGCCGGGGGCATCACCAGACCCATGCCGGGAGCCCCAGAGGGACGCGGCCTCCGCACACACCCCCGGCGGGTCCCTCCCGGCCCCTCCGCATGCGGGATGAGCAGGCTAATCCCATTCTAATCCCAGATTACGTGCCACGTGAGCTGCTGCCCAAAGCGGGCTGCGGCATGGCCATCGGGGCTGCTGGGGGCTCCTCGGGGGCCGGGGGCATCACCAGACCCATGCCGGGAGCCCCAGAGGGACGCGGCCTCCGCACACACCCCCGGCGGGTCCCTCCCGGCCCCTCCGCATGCGGGATGAGCAGGCTAATCCCATTCTAATCCCAGATTACGTGCCACGTGAGCTGCTGCCCAAAGCGGGCTGCGGCATGGCCATCGGGGCTGGGGATGGACCCCCCCCCCCCCCCCCCCCGGCTTTCGGGGGGGCCCCCCCCCATCCAGGATAGGGCGAGCGCCACGCATCCCCACTCTAAACTTGTCGGGGAGCTCGGAGCCTCCTGGCAGGGCTGGGGGCCAGGAGAGCAGCTGGGTTGGCCCAGATCCCTCGGATGGGAGGAACCGAGCAGCCGGAGGAGGAGGAAATGCCCCCTTCATCTCCAGCTGCTCCTGGATGGGGCGGACGGATTGCTCCTATCCCCCCCCCAGCCAGGGAAACTGAGGCACGGAGCAGCCCTGTGTCCACAGGACGGGAGACGGGCAGGGTGCATCCTCTGCCCCAGGGGATGGAAAAATCCCATGGGCCAGGCGCTGGCAGCTGGTGGCTTTTAAGGCCACCGAGGCGTCCCTCGGCAGGGCTGTGCCAGGCAGGGTGCAATGGCACGGAAGCAATGGGCTGTCAATAGCTGAAGGGTCGCTCCCCTCGGCAGGGCAATGCTCCGGCGGGGAGGGAAAGGGCGAGAAACAGGACAAAGGAGGAACCGGACACCGGTGAGACGCGGGTCGGGGATCCACGTGCTCCCCGCCGGCTCGGCCCTGCTGCGATCGAGTTGCCAATGGGGCCCCCATGTGCGGCGGTGCCTCGGTTTCCCCCGGCGAGGCGGGGAGGATGCTCGGTGCCTCTCCCGTGCCGCGTTTGTTTGGGGTTTGCGGTGGGAGGGGGAGGAGGAGGAGGGGG